TGCTTTTGACATTTAAGATTTACTGTACAGTATGTGTTGGAGTACAGACGGAAGTAACTTGGGGTACATTGCTTACGTGTACTGCAGGTGCTGTTTATTACGGACGCTACTTCTCCCACTGTAACCACTCCAAATAATCCCAAAGGTGCTGGATGGGGGTTAAGGTCAGAAGTCTGTGCAGGCTGGTCAAGTTATTGCACAGTACACTTCATTTCTTAATGGACATGGCCATCTGTGCTTTGGTGTTATGTCAGTTACAGCCTATATAATCTAAAAACAGATGAGAGATTCATATCTAAAAATGCTTTCAAAAAACCTAATCCACACATGTAGCTCAAGCAAGTTAGACTAGGTGCAACAGCATTTGTCAGGTAACTACAACTTGCCAAAGCTGCCAGGGTTCAAAATAAAAGGAAGAAACATGATGCCCATTTTTGTGTCTGTGAATAGGTCAATACATACTGTATGTTGAACAATCTCTGCAATGAGTTTAGATACATTCAATTTAAAACCAGTCATTGCGGCCTTTAATTAAACGGTTTCTTCTATCCAACAACATTCCCCAAACTGTTGCTTCCACATTACTGGATGCACACTATGATCCAAAGTGTTGTTTGCTGTATGATTATGTTAATTGGAAGTGGAAAGCACAAATCATGAAACACATACCCACCCTAGAAGTACACAAATATATGTCCATAAAGTATATGAGTAACTGTGTGAATGACTAACATCCAGTTACTGAAGGGCAGATACAGTGAAACAAGTGTGACAGAGTGAATTACTGCCTCACAGTAAATTAATAGCACTGAGCCACACTTTCAGACAGAGAGAAGTGATCAGATGAGTGCTGGATAATGACACACAGAGAAGCAGTAATCTCTTGCTAGCACACTAATCTTAGCAGGTTAGGGAAAGGACATGAAAGAAATAAAACAAAGTAGCTGAAGAAGTCTTGACGCAAGACAGCAGGGATAAAAGTCTGTCATAACATATGAATATTGCCGCTCTGAAATAAACATTTACCCCATGTAAGTGTGTCCTCTAACCTCATTTTGACTCGTCTTTGCTAATGTAACATCTACACAGAATGCTACAGTACAAGTAAATGCACTGAGCACATACGCACAGACCCATAATCTGCTGAGCATATGAGACAGAAAGCACGTGTCCCCCCAATAGATTTCTGAGAATGTACGCTGTTAGAATAGCTGAACAGCAGAATCACTGAGTGCTTTCGTTTGCAGCTGAAATACAGCCCAAAGAAAATGGGAAGACTTTGGTTTGAGGAGTCTCTTTTCTTTCCTCTCTCATCTCTTTTTATTTGCTTCCCTCCTCTGGTTCCTGGTTGCACTGAACTGAGCTTGCAGATCCACTTTACCTCCCTTGAAAAAAAGGAGAGCCTGGAAATGAGCACTGGTTGAGAAAGCTGTATCTTTTCTCTCTCCCGGCTGGTGTTTGCTGGAGATAAACCCAGTACATAGTGTCTCTGTCTGCATGTCGACATAGAGTATACACCTCAGTGACTGTGTTCTTCATCACTCTTTATTGCTGTGTGTGTGTATAAGGATGTGTGTCTGTACCCCTAACTTGTGATATATTCAGTCCTCTGAAGTGAGGTTTCAAACTTTAAACAACACACTATGACACATAAGATTTGTTGTACATGTCTTCCTGACTTTATGGACCAACATCCCCCTGTCCCTCTGCTCTCAGCTGCAGCCATGGCATTGTGCCCTGTGTTTTGCAGCACTAGCTGCCAGATTGATCCGGCTTTAATGAAGAGTCCTTCAGCCTAGGTGACATCATTAGCTGGTTGTGGGCCACAGTGGGCCACTTGGCGCGACTCCCTGCTTCCCTTCAGGGAAAATGGGTCATCTGAGTGGCAGACGGACAGGGGCCAGGGGAGCTAGCCAGCAAACTCAACAGTGGCGGTACACCAGGCAGAAGAATAGTGATGCCCTTCAGACACCTGTAGTCACGAAGCATTTTATCTCTCAACTAGAAGTACTTCTGAGGAACCCTAAACTACTTAATGAAGAGTTTTTGCCAAAAACACAAATCTTGGGCAAACTTTATTGAGCTGGACATGGTTGGTGAAAATTTCAACTTGCAATATATTGAAGTCCAAGTTTATTTATGAATCCTGTTTTTTTAAATTTGTTCCTTACAGAAGATTACAATGGATATTTCTTTGTTTTATACAATCTGCACAAAACAAATGCTACAGCTTATTTGTGAATACAAACTGACCCAGATTTGATACAGACTGGGATAAAAAGGTTTATTATATGTCTGGTCCTCCTGCACTCACTCTGGGTGTACTGAAGGGAGGCAGAGAATATAATGGTAAGTCAGAGATCTGTGGTTTACAAGAAGGCTGGACCTGAGCATGGCTTCAGAGCCATCTCATCCATCTAACTGTCAGCATCTCACCAGGCAAAAATCACCAAGTCTTCCAGTCTGTCCCTGCCCTCCCTCCCTCTCATCTCTGCTCTGTATTGCCCCCTGCTCTCATCACATACACACACAAAAGCAGGGATGTGTGCAGACGCAGACACAAACACACACACACACACACACAACCGCAGCACAGTAGGTGAACACTGCAATTTTAGCACAGCAGCTGTTTTTGCCAGCCATAAAAGTGACAACCCTCTAGCTATTCTTCTCTACACTCCTACTTCCTTTTCTTCATCCTGACTCCTTCCTTGCATCTACACTGTTCATCCACATATGCTGCATGTACCTTCCAGGCTGTGTTTTTAAGCAGAACATAAAGAGTCCAAGCAGACCAGTTGGACTTAGCCATTCCCAACCTGCCTGCAGCTCAGAATGTATGAGTCTATGTAGCGTATCTGTTGAATTATATGCAGCATCTATGTGACTGTGGATAATATGAGTGTGTGCTGATGCTGAACTTTGCATGAACTGGTATGTGTGTGCAGTGCTTTAAGCTGCAGATAATGCGTTAGTCAAATCTGGTGAATGATTAATTTAATTTGGATTTAAGCTTTTGTAGTGTAACGTGATGTTTTTAATTAAAGGTAAACAAACAAACCCCCCCCCCCATAAAAATCAAAAATAAGAACAAGCTTCTACATGAATAGTAAAACATAATAGCAGTGAAACACCAACTACCATCCTTAAGCTGAAACACTTCCAGCTTAAGAATCCAGGTGGGATCTCTTTAATTTCTCATAAGCAATCGGGTGATTGCCAGAGAGTTCCCATGGCAACAACATAACTCCCAAATCTTCAACACCCCAACACACACACACAGACACACACACCCCACCCTGTATCCATTTAACAATTCCCCAGATGCCTAATTGTTTCCCTAATGATGCCAGGCCTAATGGGACTGTTTATGGTATTCATTTGATAGCCCTAGCCCAGTAATTAGACTACACCTCACTTCATTAAACAGCAGGGGGGAGGGGCAGTGCCTGGTGGCACATACAGTATATGCACATGCAATAGCAAAAAGTGAAATTTACAACAAAATTCCCGATGATAGAAATGCAGTCAAACACAGAAACACAGATACAGAAAGCAGCTACAGACCCAAGAGACAACTATTCTTATCAGCGCCCTCTTCCATTAGTCCCATTGTCTTGTAAGGTGCTATATTGTACTGGCAAAGGACTTCAATCATTATCTCTTGAAGTGCATAAGATGCTGAACTTACTGGTAACATATTATAACACCCTCGAGAGAACAGATTTAGCAAAATACCTTGAATGCAAATGACAAAGACATAGGTCCCAGAAAGTATATTTAAGTACTACAGCAGCAGGAAAAACCATCCCGACTAGGAGCTGCTACAACACAAGTGACATCATACAGTTAGGTGACAGCTTAGTAGGTACACCACATCGCGTCACCATAGAAGAAAC